GCTGCAGCCTGCCCAGTAGCTGCAGTGACTAAATGGCTGCATATCTGATCATATCTGACCTGGCCCTTCAAACACATATGAATGGAATAGAAGTACTCCCTATGTTAACAACAGTATACATAAGGCTAAATTTATATAAACGTATATACACACACACACACACACATACTTACATACATACATACATATATGCTAAAAGTCCTGGATGAAGGCCCCCAATGTCCACGCTGTGTTGCAGATGTGTGTCAACCAGGACAACCCTGCAACATCCAGAGTCTTGAGGAGCTCTGGGCGGATCTCATCCACCCTCGGGACCCGGCCACCGAGGAGTTTAACCACCTCAGCGACCTCCGCCCCAGAGAGAGGTGTGAAGGCGGAGCCAGAAGAACGTCAGCGTTCGTCTGCTCACTCTCAGCGGTGTAGAGCCGCCGCTCTTGGATGTAGCTGAGGACCGGGTCAGGCAGCAGGTACCGGACACTGCGGCCATGCCGCAGCGCTCGGCGGATGTCTGTGGCCGACACGTCGATGGCCACCCACTCGCGCACCACGTGGATGTTGCGGTATTGTGGCCAGAGGTCGTCGGAGCCCTGAATAATGGCCTCTGGATTGGATCCACCGCGGGTGCTGCACAGCAGTCCAAAGTTGTTGACGATCTCCTTGATGTGCTCAGGCTTCCACAGCCCTGGCACCCCGAAGGAGTCCCGTCAGCATCGCAGAGTAGCATCAACCGCAGCTCATCTGAGGAGGCAGGGGAATAATCAGCATTAAATAGCAGTTTATTATTATTATTATTAATAATAATTAATAAGTTTTATTTATATAGCGCCTTTCGTACACTCAAGGACACTTTGCAAAAACATTTAACGAGGCAGGCAAGTTCAATACAAGACGAATAATATTCATTGAATAGATCTGTTTTTAACAGGAGCTTAAAATGGATAACAGATTTTTCATTACAGAGACTAAGAGGAAGAGCATTCCAAAGGTTAGGAGCTGTTACACTAAATGCTCTGCCACCCATAGTTGATAACCTGTGCTTAGGTACAGTGAGTCAGTCTGCGTCGGATGATCTTAATGCAGGAATGTACGGAAAGAGGAGCTCAGACAGATAATGACCAGCTTGTTTCAAGGTACGCAGCTCAGTTGTGAACCATGGGGAAGTCCGGGTAGCAGGGACAGACAAGGATCTAATAGGTGCATGATGGTCTAAAACTTGTGACATTGTGGAATTATACAGATTAATTGGGCAAGAGAACTGAAAAACATGATGAAGACAGGAAGCATCGACAGACATAGAGAAGGATAATTGATCAACATTCTTAATGTTACGATAGGTTATTTTCGATTTTTGACTTAGTGTAGGCAGCGGATAACTGAAACTAAATTCAACCAGCTTGTGATCTGAGATAGCAATGACAGAACCAGATGTACAAACATTCTGTAAACCAGTGGAACAGATGAGATCCAGAGTATGGCCCTTGGCATGAGTTGGAAAATCAATATGCTACACAAAACTGAAAGAATTCAGTACTGAACACAGCTCACTAGCCGATGGACAGTCAGTATCCACATGAATATTAAAATCGCCAAGCAAAATCACAGCGATAGACATGCCAGAAACAAAAGTAAGAATCTCATTAAGATCAGGGAAAAAATTAGGGTGAGGCTGCGGAGGTCTGTAGATTAATATGACGTGCAACGGAGCCTTTCCAGCAATTTTACAAGCCAGATATTCAAAGGATGTAATCCCATGAAACTCAACTGCTGTTTCAACACAGTCGCGGTGTATCACCGCTAGACCACCACCCCTGGCCGTCAGACTGGGTTTACATAGAAAACTATAACCTGGAGGTGTAAGTAGATTTAGGTGCAAATTATCTTCAGGTTTCTGCCATGTTTCCACAAGCAGCAACATGTCCAGACTTTTAGAAACAGTCAGGTCATTGAGGAAAGTAGTCTTATCCGTCAGTGACCTACAGTTCAGGAGCGCACAGCGGAGAGTTAAGTGAGTATGTAGTCCATCGTTATGCCAGTCTGGTTCCTGGGAGAGCAGTTCCTGCCGGTGATGCCTGGGAACAGATGTTAAAGATCAGTTCAGCCAACAGGGGGTGTAATAGTCAAAGGAAAGGACTCATAGCTGAAAGATGGGGCCGTTCTTTCACCCTTAGGGTGAACTCACCGTAGCACTTTGACCGTCTCCAGCCATTTGGCCTGCCTGCTCTCCCAGCTGTCCACCTCAATCCAGCTGTGGTCCTCTACCACCAGCTTGGCCATTTCCACCCGATGGCTGGCCTCGATCAGGCCCTTCTCGTTGTAGCCATCGCCCACTGGTGATATGATCCCCTTCACAACTTCATACTGTCCTGGGGAAGCCAAGCACAGCACAGGTGTCCTATGTTGAGTATGGTTCATGCTTTTTAACAAAGTAAGTTTCACATTTAAACTTCGTGGAGCTAAAAGTTAGCATGGCATGCTATGTACCAGTATTTAGTTTGTATGTCATACTTAATGTTCCCATTAAAAATGACAACTTTTTATATAAAAAATCAAGTTGGCATGAACGTTTTGTTAGTAGCTTATGACAGTCAGGTACAGTACATGTTTGTGACTGGGTTGTAGGAGCCACAAGACAGCAGCACCACATTGGTTTTCTTTGGTACCTGCAGAAAATGCATTGGGAAACAATACAAAATTACACTACATGTAGTCAC